ATATATATATATATATATATATATATATATATAAGGGAGAAGGCTTACAGCTTTTCATCTCATCCCCTGCATGCATCAGCCTTACTAGAGATTTGAACAATGCAAATAATTCGCGAGAGCATGCGAAATATACACAAACACTGATCTCTGGCTGAAGGAGACTCGAACCTACGAACCTTAGGACAAGAGTGCTTTACCAATCTACCCACACTGGACCAATACCTTGGCGTGTAGGATGCGCTGCCTTGGATCAAACGTGTAGCGCATGCTACACGCCAAGGTATTGGTCCAGTATGGGTAGATTGGTAAAGCACTGCGTACCTTGTCCTAAGGTTCGTAGGTTCGAGTCTCCTTCAGCCAGAGATCAGTGTTTGTGTATATATCGCATGCTCTCGCGAATTCCTTGCATTGTTCAAATCTCTAGTAAGGCTGATGCATGCAGGGGATGAGATGAAAAGCTGTGAGCCTTCTCCCTGAAAGCTGGCTGCCTTGGATCAAACGTGTAGCGCATGCTACACGCCAAGGTATTGGTCCAGTGTGGGTAGATTGGTAAAGGAGTGCGTACCTTGTCCTAAGGTTCGTAGGTTCGAGTCTCCTTCGGCCAGAGTCAGTGTTTATATATATATATATATATATATATATATATATATATATATATATATATATATATATATATATATATATATATATATATATATATATATATATTTCAACAAGTCGGCCGTCTCTCACCGAGGCAGGGTGACCCAAAAAAAAAGAAAATCCCTAAAAAGAAAATACTTTCATCGTCATTCAACACTTTCACCACACTCACACATTATCACTAGTTTTGCAGAGGTGCTCAGAATACAACAGTTTAGAAGCATATACGTATAAAGATACACAACATATCCCTCCAAACTGCCAATATCCCAAACCCCTCCTTTAAAGTGCAGGCATTGTACTTCCCATTTCCAGGGCTCAAGTCCGACTATATGAAAATAACTCGTTTCCCTGAATCCCTTCACTAAATATTACCCTGCTCACACTCCAACAGATCGTCAGGTCCCAAGTATCATTCGTCTCCATTCACTCCTATCTAACACGCTCACGCACGCTTCCTGGAAGTCCAAGCCCTCTCGCCCACAAAACCTCCTTTACGCCCTCTCTCCAACCCTTTCGAGGACGACCCCTACCCCTCCTTCCTTCCCCTATAGATTTATATGCTTTCCATGTCATTCTACTTTGATCCATTCTCTCTAAATGACCAAACCACCTCAACAACCCCTCTTCTGCCCTCTGACTAATGCTTTTCTTAACTCCACACCTCCTAATTTCCACTCTCCGAATTTTCTGCATAATATTTACATCACACATTGCCTTTAGACAGGACATCTCCACTGCCTCCAACCGTCTCCTCGCTGCTGCATTTACCACCCAAGCTTCACATCCATATAAGAGTGTTGGTACCACTATACTTTCATACATTCCCTTCTTTGCCTCCATAGAAAAAGTTTTTTGACTCCACATATACCTCAACGCACCACTCACCTTTTTTCCCTCATCAATTATATGATTAACCTCATCCTTCATAAATCCATCCGCCGACACGTCAACTCCCAAGTATCTAAAAACATTCACTTCTTCATACTCCTCCTCCCCAATTTGATATCCAATTTTTCTTTATCTGAATCATTTGTTACCCTCATCACCTTACTCTTTTCTATGTTCACTTTCAACTTTCTTCCTTTACACACATTCCCAAACTCATCCACTAACCTTTGCAATTTTTCCTTAGGATCTCCCATAAGCACACTATCATCAGCAAAAAGTATCTGTGTCAATTCCCATTTTGAATTTGATTCCCCATAATTTAATCCCACCCCTCTCCCGAACACCCAAGCATTTACTTCTTTTACAACCCCATCTATAAATATATTAAACAACCATGGAGACATTACACATCCCTGTCTCAGACCTACTTTTACCGGGAAGTATTCTCCCTCTCTTCTACACACCCTAACCTGAGCCTCACTATCCTCATAAAAATTCTTAACAGCATTTAGTAACTTACCACATATTCCATATTCTTGCAACATCTGCCACATTGCTCCTCTATCCACTCTATCATATGACTTTTCTAAATCCATAAATGCAATAAAAACTTCCCTACCTTTATCTAAATACTGTTCACATATATGCTTCAATGTAAACACTTGATCTACACATCCCCTACCCACTCTGAAGCCTCCCTGCTCATCCGCAATCCTACATTCTGTCTTACCTCTAATTCTTTCATTTATAACCCTACCGTATACTTTTCCTGGTATACTCAGTAAACTTATTCCTCTATATTTTTTACAATCTCTTTTGTCCCCTTTCCCTTTATATAAAGGGATTATACATGCTCTCCGCCAATCCCTAGGTACCTTCCCCTCTCTCATACATTTATTAAACAAAAGTACCACCACTCCAACACTATATCCCCCCTGCTTTTAATATTTCTCTCATGATCCCATCAGTTCCAGGTGCTTTACCCCCTTTCATTCTACGTAATGCCTCACGTACCTCCCCCACACTTACATTCTGCTCTTCTTCACTCCTAAAAGATGGTATACCTCCCTGGCCAGTGCATGAAATTACCGCCTCCCTTTCTTCCTCAACATTTAAAAGTTCCTCAAAATATTCTCGCCATCTACCTAATACCTCCCTCTCCCCATCTACTAACTCCCCTACTCTGTTTTTAACTGACAAATCCATACTTTCCCTAGGCTTTCTTAACTTGTTTAACTCACTCCAAAATTTTTTCTTATTTTCATTAAAATTTCTTGACAGTGCCTCTCCCATTCTATCATCTGCTCTCCTTTTGCACTCTCTCACCACTCTTCACCTTTCTTTTACTCTCCATATACTCTGCTCTTCTTATAACACTTCTGCTTTCTAAAAACCTCTCATAAGCTACCTTTTTCTCATTTATCACACCCTTTACTTCATCATTCCACCAATCACTCCTCTTTCCTCCTGCCCCCACCCTCCTATAACCACAAGCTTCTGCACCACATTTTAATACTGCATTTTTAAAACTATTCCAACCCTCTTCAACCCCCCCACTACTCCTCTTTGCACTAGCCCACCTTTCTGCCAATAGTCGCTTATATCTCGCCGGAACTTCCTCCTCCCTTAGTTTATACACTTTCACCTCCCTCTTACTTGTTGTTGCCACCTTCCTCTTTTCCCATCTACCTCTTACTCTAACTGTAGCTACAACTAAATAATGATCCGATATATCAGTTGCCCCTCTATAAACATGTACATCCTGGAGCCTACCCATCAACCTTTTATCCACCAATACATAATCTAACAAACTACTTTCATTACGTGCTACATCATACCTTGTATATTTATTTATCCTCTTTTTCATAAAATATGTATTACTTATTACCATATTTCTTTCTACACATAGCTCAATTAAAGGCTCCCCATTTACATTTACCCCTGGCACCCCAAATTTACCTACTACTCCCTCCATAACTTTTTTACTCACTTTAACATTGAAATCCCCAACCACCTTTACTCTCACACTTGGTTCAAAACTCCCACGCATTCACTCAACATTTCCCAAAATCTCTCTCTCTCCTCTACACTTCTCTCTTCTCCAGGTGCATACACACTTACTATAACCCACTTATCACATCCAATCTTTATTTTACTCCACATAATCCTTGAATTAATACATTTGTAGTCCCTCTTTTCCTGCCATAGCTTATCCTTCAACATTATTGCTACTCCTTCTTTAGCTCTAACTCTATTTGAAACCCCTGACCTAATCCCATTTATTCCTCTCCATTGAAACTCTCCCACCTCCTTCAGCTTTGTTTCACTTAAAGCCAGGACATCCAGCTTCTTCTCATTCATAACATCCACAATTATCTCTTTCTTATCATTTGCACAACATCCACGCACATTCAGACTTCCTACTTTGACAATTTTCCTCTTATTCTTTTTAGTAATCTTTACAGGAAAAGGGGTTACTAGCCAATTGTTCCCGGCATTTTAGTTGACTTTTACAACACGTATGGCTTACGGAGGAAAGATTCTTATTCCACTTCCCCATGGATATAAAAGGAAAAGTAATAAGTGTGTATAAATAAATGTGTACATGTATGTGTAGTGTGACCTAAGTGTAAGTATATATATATATATATATATATATATATATATATATATATATATATATATATATATATATATATATATATATATATATATATATATATATATATATATATATTAATCTGTATGTTCCTGTTCATTCAACCTGAAATTTGTTTTACTTTCTAATCAACAGTAAGAAAAAGAAAAGCTCAGGCAATGAATTATCGAAATTACATATATTAAGAAACCATGTTTATTACGATTTTTTTTATCTTAATCTCTCCTGATTGGCATTCCTCTTGTTCATGAAAAATTTGTAATTGAAACACATATATTTTTTGTTAACATAAAGTTTATTCATATTACTCTAGTTTCCTGGCAATTCTAAATTTCACAATTTTTATAATAATATGTGGAAAAAAGAAATATGAATAAAAATCTGGATACATTATCTGAGAGTCAACTGAGTTACTCCTAAAATGTTTATTAAAATTAATCCACATCCGAGTAGTGAGGTTCAGTTAATGTTCTCGTTAGAATTTTTTGATGTAAATAGTGCACAGGACCGTAGTCTCTTCACTCACAGTCTTTGTAATTCATAACCAAACAATTAATACACAAATAACCCGCACATAAAAGAGAGAAGCTTACGACGACGTTTCGGTCCGACTTGGACCATTTACAAAGTCACTGTGACTTTGTAAATGGTCCAAGTCGGACCGAAACGTCGTCGTAAGCTTCTCTCTTTTATGTCCGGGTTATTTGTGTATCTTTCCAGTCAGGGTATTGTGCCTTTTTTGTTAAAAACAATTAATACCTAACTTCTTATGAGTAAAATAAATAAAAGTTATTTTCAATAATTACAGTTATTCACGAATCTTCAGTAGAAGTGACTGAGGTGTTACAAGCAGTGACGAGATCTGTTAAACATGATCAGTGTTCCGTCATCTTCTTCACTGACGGTAGATTCTCTTCCAGCAGCTTCATTATGGTAAGTAAAACATGTGCTAGCAACATTTTTTTAAATAAAATTAAAACAAATATTTAAACAATATATTAAGATATAAAAGTTAAATAATCTTCACATTTATAGTTAACGGAGGCATCAGTAGCTCCCTGGGGTGTGGCAGTGTTTGAGGTGACACTAGATGGTCAACACGCTAATCTAACAGTGCCACAGTTGTCCTGGGCGGTCGCTCAAGCACGTCAGGTATGTCACTCTAGAATCACTAATATTGAGGCACAAGCAGGTGCTCAGCAGACTGAGAATCAAGACTCCACCACGTCTTGCGCTGAATGACATACGTGGGTTTAGCTTATAAAATGAATAATAATAATAATAGTAATGTTAGTTTTACCCTATGTTATAAACTTAACGCTGTTCTTGGTCATTCTGCAGATATATAAGGCTTCTGCTCTCAACAGTCAAATCCTGTGTGGTCATTTTCAGTAAGATAAGAGTGTAATTTTCATTCCCAACAGTCTGACTTCTATTTTGTTCATATTGCATCTGTGACCGTCCCGACTTAGTTTTTAAGTCGGTCATTCTTTGTGATGAACGAATATATTGATGTTTTGTATTTCTTTGTCAAGGTCCATAATGTGGAATACAAATAAAAGATCCAAACTAAGTCCTTGGAAAGCACCACATTTGACTTCTCCTCAGAGTGATATCACTGCATTTATACTTCTTTGCTTGACTTTAACTGATGTTTAAATCCATGAAATAAACATTCATCATTACTAGCTAGGATTATATTGTTACTTTATTGCTGAAAGGCAATGTCACTCTCAAAAATACCGACCCAGGTAGGTAGCAACACTACTAAGGTGGGTAAATAAAATTATCCAAGTGGGAGGGTCCCATTGCTACGACAGCTACCATTAATAGCTGCGGCAGGTGTCATGGTGCGTAATGGTGGTCGTAGTATGTGACGACACAGATTTCCTCGTCGCCTTCGCTGAGTGGTCCCTCAATGGTCGTCTCCTGGTGTGGTCAACGAGACTCCTCGTTATCACTCGTCTACCCCTCCAGCAGCTGCAGTTCCTCCACTCGACCTTCTCCATGACGAACTCAATGATGGTCATCGTAGAGAACACTTCTGACAGCTCCAGGTATTTTATAGAGAAAAGTGGATATTCCTTGTTAGTTTTTTTATTTATTAACACACTGGCCGTTTCCCAGCTAGGCAGGGTGGACCGAAAAAGAAAAACTTTCATCATTCACTCCATCACTGTCTTGCCAGAGGCGAGCTTACACTACAGTTTTTAAACTGCAACATTAACACCCCTCCTTCAGAGTGCAGACACTGTAATTCCCATCTCCAGGAAACAAGTCCTGCCTGCCGATTTCCCTGAATCCCTTAATAAATGTTATCCTGCTTACTCTCCAACAGCACGTCAAGTCCTAAAAACCCTTTGTCTCCATTTGCTCCATCTAACACGTTCACGCAGGCTTGCTTGAAGTCCAAGTATCTCCTTCATACCTTTCCTAGGCCGACCCCTTCCCAGTCTTCCCTCCACTACGGATTTGTATACTCTCGAAGTCATTCTATTTCGTTCCATCCTTTCTACATGTCCAATCCATCTCATTCACCCCTCCATAACCCTCTGAATTAACAGTTTTGGCAATCCCACACCCCCTAATCACCAAACTACAGATTCTCTGCATTATATTCACACCACACATTGCCCAGCCTTCTCCTTGTTGCAACATTCGCAACCCATGCCTCACACCCATACAAGAGCGTTGGTATAACTATACTCTCATACATTTGCCTCTTATTTTTCGTGGATAAAGTTCTTTGACTCCACAAACTTCTCAGTGCAGCACTCACCTTTTTCCTCTCGTCAATTCTGTGATTTACCTCATCTTTCATAGACTCCTCTGCTGACTCGTCCACTGCCAAATATCTGAATACTTTTACCTTTTCCATGCTCTTCCGTTACCTATTCTTTTTTTATCCTCATCACCATACTCTTTCCTATATTCACTTTAATTTCCTTCTTTTGCATACCCTACCAAACTCATCAACCAACCTCTGCAACTTCTCTTCAGAATCTCTCGAAAGAACAGTGTCATCAGCAAAGAGCATCTGTGATAACTCCCACTTTCCGTTAGAGTCTTCATCTTGTAACCCCACATCCCTTGCCAACACCCGAGCATTCACTTCTCTTACTACTCCATCTGTGAATATGTTGAACATTAATGGTGACATCACACGTTCCTGTCTAAGGCCTACTTTTACTGGAAAAAAATTTCCCTTCCTCCTAAATATTCCAACCTGAGCCTCACTATCCTCGTAAAGACCCCTATTCCATACATTAGCAACATCTACCACACTGCCCGCCTATCCACCATATACGCCTTTTCCAAATCTATAAATGCGACAAAAAACTCTTTGCCCTATCCACATATTTCACAGCAAACACTTGGTCTACACACCCCTTACCCTTCCTTCAGCTTCCATGTTCATCTGCTATCCTGCTCACCTTGCTAGTCTTAATTCTTTAAATGATTACTCTACCATACACTTTACCAGGTATTCTCAACAGAATAATTCCACTATAATTTTTACACTCATTTTTGTCCTCTTTTCCGTGTTGTTTATATTTTAATTTAACCTTTACCTAAATTGCCTAATGTGATCTATAAAGAATAGACTCAATGCCGTAACTGGAACAACATATAACTCGCACATATGAGAAAGAAACTTATGACGATGTTTCGGTCCGACTAGTTATACACACACACGAAGGTAATGGAGTCAGTGCATAGTCGAGTGAAGAGTTGAGACGGAAGAAAAACAGGAGGAAGAAGAATAAAAATAAAAAGAAGAAAGAAGATATAGAAGAAGAGGTAGTGCAGGTAAAGCTAGTAGTAGTGGTAGTAGTCGTAGTAGTAGTATTAGTAGTAGTAGGTGGTGTGAACAGTGGTAGTGGTGTAAGAATCAGAGTATGGAGTGAAGCGAGGTAATCGTAGCAGTAGTAGAAATGGCAGTACGAGTTGAGGAAGTCTACGGGCAAGAAAAAAAACTGCAAGAGAGTTAATGACCCACGACGGTGGACGATAAACACAGAAGCGAGAAAAACACACAGAACAAAACACTCATACGCAAAAGAAAGGAAAGTTAAAATATATATATGAAAGGAGAAGGGGCAAGGAGAGAATGATGTAAAGGTCAGGTTAGATCTAGAGTGTACTGAAGTTTAGAGCATTTGACAATGTAATTGTAAAGGAAGACATCTGCAGAGAGAAAGCCAGGACTGTTTCATATTAGGAAAGTTGTATACAAGGTTTCCTTCAACACAACAACGTCTATGTAGTCCTGAAGAAGAATAAACAGTTTTGACAGAGGAGCAGTCCATAGGATGACTGTGATCTCCAACATGATAGAAAAAAACATTATTTGTGTCACCATGTCTAACACCTGTGTCGTGCTCTTAAATTCTGTCAGAAAGAGAGCGGCCAGTTTATCCAAAGTGTTGGAGAGGACAAGATGAAATGGATATCTGAGTAGACTCTGTGAACATCAATAGCAGGAGAAGTACGAACTAGTTTGCTACAAAGGGTGTTTATATCTATGGACTTGGAGAAAGTTGCTAAGAGTTCAGAGACTGGGATTATAAGGACGGCAAAGCTCAGGAGATTTCACAGGTGTTCAGAGTTTGGGAGAGTACGTTTAGCCCGTGAGAAGGCAGAGTTTATGAAATCGGAATGGTAACAAAGACGAGAGAACGAATTTTGAAGAATGGAAATTCCGAGTCAAGGAACTGAGGGTCACAGACCAGGAGGGCAGGAAGAAAGCGAGAAATAAGAGAACTTTTCTTGACAGAGCATGGTAAGAAAAATAGTGAAAATCCATCCCATTGTGCATAGGCTTGCGATAAACGGAAAAATGAAAAACCTGAAGCCGAGCGATGAACATGTCCATCAAGGATTGGAAAGAAGGAGTTAGATTCCTATTCAGCCTTTAACTTGATAGAAGAAGAAAGATTGTTATGGGCGTCGAGAAATGGTTGAAATAGACTAGAGTCATTTTGGCCAGTGAGCAAAGATGTCATCTACTTAGAGGCGTCAGAGGGAAGTAGATCAATTTCAAAGTGATCCTTATAAACGTTATCAATAACAGGGGGTGGACGAGAGCCCATAGCAACAGCGAAGGAGAATTATTTCAAGATAGACATCAGTATGAATAAGATGAAGCAACCCTTCAGTGACCTTCACTCTAAGAAAACTGAAAATATCATCAGAAGGAACATTTGTGAAGAAGGACTCAACGTCGAGACTAAGCGTCTTAATGTTAATGATTCACTTTTTAAAAGTATTTTCTAAAATGTAGAAGTACATAAATAATTTTTTTTTAATTTCGACTAGGTGAACAATAGCATATGGGTGACATTTTGTTTCTAATAATTTAAGAAAATTTTATATTTATTTTTCGTTTTCAGATACGTATGAGCTTTGTAGTTCTTCCTAAAATATACATGTATTTAATATTTTGTTTATATACAGTATATTCAATGAATTATTTTTCTTGCATTGGTCACGTCACCCTTGACTGAGACATGAAAGTTCATCTTCAATGTATTATTATTTTTTTTAATTTTTCATCACAACTAATTTTTTTTAATATTAGGTTGATACTCACCTGTGAGGATGAAAACTAACACCAACTGTTCCATTACAGATGCAGTGTGTATGTGAGGTTACCGTACACTACCCAGCAATCTCTGTGGCTGAAAGTTGCCACCTGGGACGGCAGTCAAAGGCTAACTCTCACTTCGTACCTCATGCTTTTTCCTGACAAGTTTTCTAGGTGTGATATATATATACATTATATATATATATATATATATATATATATATATATATATATATATATATATATATATATATATATATATATATATATATTATATATATATTATATATATATATTATATATATATATATATATATATGTAGTGCCGAATAGGCAGAACTTGCGATCTTGGCTTAAATAGCAACGTTCATCTTGCCATATAGGACAAGCGAAAATTTGTGTATGCAATAATTTCGCCAAAATCATTCTGAACCTAACGAAAAAATATATTTCACTGTGTTTATTTAGTATTAAATTACTGTAAACAAATCTAAAACATATTTAGTTGGGTAAGGCTAAAATAAATTGCTCTTGCTAAAACAAGGTTAGGTAAGTTTTCTAAGTTTCCTTTGGTGTAAAATTAAAAAAAATTACATTAACATTAATGAAAAAAAATATATCTTTCAAAGTATAAGAGAAAATTTTGGAAAGGACTTAATTTTAAATGAGTTCTTGCTAACTGACCAGTTTTACATATTCGGCACGACATATATATATATATATATATATATATTATATATATATATATATATATATATATATATATATATATATATATATATATATATATATATATATATATTCAATGCAGCCTCCGTCTCCCACCAAGGCATGATGAAACTGATTTAAAGATCTAACTACAAGACTCCATCATTGTACCTAGACCTGTATATTCAATGTCTGTTGCTTTGGCATAGCTAACATATTTCTCTTTCCTTTTCTGTAAATGTTAATTTGAGATTATTATTAAAGTTCCAAGTCCTGGTTGACCGGTTCAGTAATTTCCATAATTCGAGACTATTGACATTGCAGCTAGACTAGTGAATGTATTACTCAGAATTTTTAAGGACTGGAACAATAGAGGAGAAAGGGTATTAACATTTTTATCACATTTGCGCTCTTTAAATTGTTCATTCTTCACAAATGTTTTGCAGAGTGGAAATCTTAAGGGAAAGTTGCTGACAACTGCGGTAGGCCTTCACCAAAATAAAAAAAAAAAAAAAAAAAACGGTAAATAAGTAAAGCTCGGTAAAATAATAATTCTTATATCTTGCAACGTTTTGGAGAATATCTCATCTTTGTATGATAATTATAAAGTTATCACAATTATAGTAAACGAGGTAATGACATTAGTTGTTGTAGACTTATACATACAAATCTAATACTTGTAACTGAAAATTCGTTAATTATGAAAGAATCATTTTGAGTTTTACAATAACTATTCTAGGGTCATTATTCTGCAAGCCGTTGTTAAAATGTTGGCAAAAATAACTTCTCGTTTTGCATGTAATAGGCGTATTATGAAAATATTAATCAAAAATAGTTGAGACAACTCTGATTTTTGTGGGGATTACAAAATACTTATATAATTATAATTTTAGTTCATCGGAAAATCCACTTGGCATTGCGTCATTATTTGTTAGTAATTAAAATTACTTTAATATTCCAATATTTTAATATGGAGATAGATTTGTTGCACTTAAAAAAAAATTACTCCTTTTATTTTTTTATTAATTTTTGGCATAATCTTCATGAAACTTTTCCCTTATACACTTTCATGCTATTAGAATGTATGATAAAATTTTGGACGAAATCATGCAATAGATAAAGAAAAAAAATCTATGGCATCTTCAACACATCATTTGCCAAACAATATATCCAGCTTTTTTTTTTAAACTAATATTGTCATTCTCTTACTCTGTATTTAATATTTAATAATTTTCATTGCATTTCAAAATTTTTAATTTCGTCATCTATATCGTTACATTTGTCTTGACAAAAAAATATTTGCT